AACTCTACTTCTGCCAACTCGCCCTCTGCCGGCCGCTTCGGAAGCAACTCCTCAGAATCTGCCAAGTGCAGACGATGAGGAATGCATCGGAATGCAGTCTTAGGCATTCCCTGCCCCAACTCCAAGACCCAAGACGACATACCACAAGCTTCAGTTAAGGCTGCTGCAGTCTAACCCTCACCCCCCCCCCCCCCACTGACCCCTAGCCCCTGACAGGACCGGGGCTCGCTGAGCGGAAGATCTTCCAGTAGTCCAAGAGGGGCCTGCACAAGGCTGTACCTCGAGGGGGTGGGGGCCAGATGTGGGATGTAGGGCGTCGATGAAGTATCCATCCACACTTCCCATGACAGCCGTGTCGTGGTGAAACGAAGTGCGCGGCAACTGTCAAACATCAACACCTGGCCTAGAGGCGAACGCAGGATCTCCGTTGCACCGTCTTGAAGACTATCTTCAAGAATGCTCAGAGCAGCACGCACAACGTCCACCCTACCCTTTCGGAGACCTCTGCAGAGGCTTGCGCAGGATGGCTCCTTTTGCGTCGGGGTCAGTTTACTCTCAAATGCCGATGTCCTCTATCGGGGCCTCTTTCTGTGCTCTTAAGTCTTAAGTCACCATACGGACCATACTCCACATATCTCCACGTATCGTGCAACCTGAAACATCCAGTGCCCACATGCAAAAGAGCCACAGTGGATTTCCATCCTCACCTGATCCCGCTTGCAGCCTCGGTAGCACATGTCTTACATGGCTCCTTGTGGTGTGGCTAAATGCCTCGTGCCCCAAGCAATCACAACTCGCTCAAAATCTATGCACCGGATTGAACTTCGGAAGCAGACCCTTCTTCAAACATCGGGATCGAATGCACTGCCTCTGCAGCTTTGAGGTGACATAGGCCTTGACCGATAGCTGCTCTTATGCACGAGGCGGCTAGGTCAGCCATGAGCCAGCCCTCAAGCTCACAGGCCATAACAAAGACAACATCAGTTTTCACGAATGTTCACAACATATCAGACTTCACCGAAGGGGTCGCTCTGCTTCGCATGCCTGCCCAGTAACTTGAGCTCTTTGGGATGGAAGCTCGCCCTGGCAAGGCCGTTGTTGGAGGAGTTCCAGCTGACGCCACCACCGAGATGCGCGTTGAGACCTCGATCGCATGCCAACGTGGCTGTTGATTGCAAGGGCTCTTTGCCCGGTTCTTTTTGGCGGGTTCTGGGTGTGCCTATCGGCCTATCGCAGAATCCAAGGGATCTGCTCGTTGTGAAAGAGCTCCGAAAGCTGCCTCTTCAAAACACTTCGATGAGATCCTAGCAGGTCTACCAGACTGAGTTTTGGAAAACTCCGGAGCCGAACATTGAAGCGAGAATGCTCATGCTGCGTGGTCAGCCGTTGTAAGTTATGATGGCTTGCCCTCAAGCGGTCCAGAGCACCACCCCCAAAAAAGACCACGCCAGGCAGCCCCGGAGGTCGGCGGCCTTGGTCCCCATGCGAGCCTGCCGGCAAAGGGTAAATGCGCCTCTCGCCTCTCGCCGTTTCCCACAGCTCGACGGCTCGTCAGGACCATCCGTGGCAGGTTGCGAGGTTGGGAGCTTCGCGTCTCTGCGAGAGAGGTCTGACTTTGGGACGTCTTTGCACACCGGGGGTCCTTCAATAAGGGCTGCAAGAATTGGACGGACAGCTCGCGGCTGATCCTCCTGGCAGTCATTTCGCTTGGAAGGCCTCTGGCTGGTCGTCATGTCAGCATAGGAACCGGAGTACTGCACCCTAACAGACCTTGCAATTTTGAACTCTTTTTGCTACGTCAGTCCTGACTTCCTCCATCCGGGCGGATCGAGAGGACTTGGAGTTCACCTCTGGCTAGCACAGGCCTGCTTTCTCCGTGGCGTCAACCTACATCTTTGCACACCACAGACTGCCTTCTCCGTGACGGACCTCAGCCTGTTGCCGATCACATATCCTGAGCCGCTCATCCGTCTTACAAAGACGGTCCTGATAAGCCGTGTCGTGCGCGAGTGCCCCCTGACCCCAAGAGATCCTGCATGCAGCACAGATACTGAACTGGGGCAGGTTCTCGATAAGATTGCTCAATGCCTTAGGTGCATGCAGCTCGCGCTCGCCGAAGAGTTGCGCAACGTTACAGGCAAGGGATCATCAATGAAAGGAGTGCCGCACTGATGCCTCTCCTCTGCTTCCGAATCATCTTTGCCGACACTCTCAGACATGCAAACTGCAAGCGTCTAAGCGTCGGCCTTCAAGGCTTCAAGTGCAAACTCCAGAGCTGGAAGGCCCTCCCACCCACACTCGAAGATGCCATGCTTCCTCGGAGCCACAGGGCCATCTAGAAAAGGAATCTGGGAGCCTGGCCCGTGCCAGCTTGGGCTCAGAGAGGAAGGCAGTCGCGAGTTCCTCTGACACTCCAGACTGCGAGCTTAAAACCCCAAACCTTATAGGCTTAACCTTACGAACCCTATAAATCCTGAACCCTAAACCCTAAACCCTAGAGCTGCAGTCTTCGGCGTGGAGTCTTGGTGTTTGTTTGGCATTTAGGGCTTGGGCAGGGAGGTTGGGCCATGTGCTTCCCCGACCTGCGGGAACCCGGCACCACCCAAAGGTCGGATGCAGTGGCAAGTTTTGTTGTTGGGCAACTGCATCGCCAAGCTAACATGAAGGCGAGCTGAATGCATGAAGCGACCTGCATGAATTTCCGGTGCTAGTCTGCCTTCTCGCAACAAAAACACGTGGTGTTGCATGCCGAAAGCAAGACTAAGTAAGCAGGGAGGAAGGACGGAACTCGGGAAGGAACGAAGGAGAACGAGAGGGATCTTGCTCCCACCCCCCAGATAACAATGTCGCAACGCAGTGAGCTCCTCTGAACGAGCCATGCTCAAGTGAAGGTTTCATGGAGAGGGATCTAGAGCGGAGGGCTACTCCGTATTTCGCACAACCTAACACTTCAATACGCTGTGCAAAAGACAAGCGTTCATTCCTGCACATCGCTTGCAGCATACAAAACTGCTCACAGCATCTTCAGCAATTCAGGCGAATTAAGAGCACGTGTAATCAACGGAACCACAGCAGTACCATAGTTTACACACTTTGCAGCACTTTTAGGCGCATAAACCTAGCATGATTTGCATTAAATGCCACAGGCAGCAGCAACAACAACGAACATGTTTTGCATGCCAGCACCGGAAACCGCTGAAGTCAAATTACAGACTAACCGAAGAACACAAGTGATTGCAAACAACAACTTGAAGCCTCCTCGTGCACAGCCGAATTGGAGGTCTATAGATTGTATAGCACAGTCGGAAGCCAAGAAGAAATCTTGGGGGGTCAGGGGATGGCAGCCCTCCCCCCAAAAAAAAAAAAACATGACTCACCGTTGCTAGATACGCTGTCTTGAGTCTAGTTGCTGAGTTGCACCACGCCCACCCCCCTCCCCCTATTCATGTGCTTGCCTCCGGAGGCCACTATGTATCGTCCCTGCATGATAAGCGCGGGGCTGTGTATCGACTCGCCATGATACTTGCAAATGGGCAGCTGCGACACTCATCTGCCACTTACATAATGCAGAAATCACTCGCAATCAATCAGTGCACAGACAGCTCAGCATGACCGAAGAAGGGGTGCATCTTATGAACCTTGCGTGATCTCATGCATGCCTCGACGGTGAAAGTTTTGTTCAGGATGCCGGGAATCCTGCAGTGAAGCTTTGCGGCAGCTTTCTGCAAGCACCGTCAATTTGCGAAAGGCGAAAGCATCTTCACCCTTGCGCCGTGGCCTTGCGGGAACGGTGTGTGCAGTGAAGTTCAACGAAGACCACACCTTGAGAGGGCCGTTCGCCTTGGAAGGCGTGTGCAACCACTGGCGCAAGATGAGATCTGAAGCAGAACACATGTCTTTCGCCGAAAGACAGCGGTCAGCACCTTTCCGACCTGGATCAAATAATGGCTAGTCGCTTCTGTCATGTTCCCGATCAGCTTCATGCTCCCGGTCAGCCAGTGGTCCTGGAATGCTCTCAAATCTTTCGTGAAGCTGAGCTGAGCACCCACGTCACGCACGCCTCCCGCGGCAGAAAGTGCAGTGAGGCCAGGAGCTTGATGGGAACGGTCGTTTCCTTGTGTCCGTTACCAAGCCGCTTCTTAGCACGATGGGAGGCTGGATGCTTCGAGCAAGCTACTAGATCGTTAAGGACACAGCCAATAAGCCGAAGTCCGTAGAAAGAGAACCTGTATAGAAGAGTGCTCCGACAACACGTGCTCGGAATAAGTGAGCTGCCGCTGGAAACTCAATACATGCGAGGATGAATGGCCGCAAGGCTTCCACTTCGAGCTTGCTTGTGTTTTGGTAAGTTTCCTGTCGTTCTGCCTCAACTCCAAACAAGACACCACCCAAGGTTGACTGAAGTACGGCCACTCCAGAAACTGGCCGTCCACATCCCTTTCAAGCGCTTGACTTTATGCGGCGTGGCACAACCAATTCAAAAAGTTGGTTCTTGATCTCGTCCTCTATAGGACCTGGGCTTGGGGGCAAAGCTTGAAGCGCTTTTTGGAAGTTGCACCTTGCGTGTGGGCGCGTCAAGACACACACACACGCACTTACTTCAAGGTGCCGACTGAAAAAACACCGAAAGCGACGAAGCACTCGAAACAAAATCCCAAAATGTAGACCTGAACTAAAAGTACCAAGATTCTTGGAAGCCAGCTGAGGGTGAAAGCAAGGACTTTTTTGTTCTGAAAGCCGAAATTGAAGTAGCGCACCTGTCGAGCCGCTTCCGCTGCGAATCTGCAATGCTTGGGCTCTGCACAGGGGCTGGTAAGGGAGTGCAACGCATTTAAGAAGGGCCCTATCAACACCCTGGCGAAACAAACCGTCCACGCTACCCGCATGTACGTTCGAGAGAACTCACAGCAGCCAAGAGCACAGAGTGGCAGGGAACACATTTTAGACCACTTTGGCATGGGATCGAGCGGCACATCGAGCATCACACGAACGAAAACGGGCGAGAGTCCCGAGCCGCAGCCCCGACCACCGACTCCTCCGAACGAAGCAGTCTGTAGCGAAATGCTCGACCGAACCGTTGGTACAACCTTCGCGGGACCAACCGCCGAGGTCTCGAACGAGTCTTCCCGACCCTCAAGACCGGAGCATCTCCCACGCGCACAAACTTTTCATGCGAACGCAGCAGCAGGCCAAGAGCAAATCACTGTCTGCCACCCAGCCGTTTCGCCGATCTCAATCGATCTCGAGAAGGCCAATCGGGTAGGTTCGCATCTTTTGAAACACGATCAATGGAAAAAATGACTCGATACTCTCTCTCCTCCAGCGGCCATCCGGAGAGCCTCCTTCTCTAGCTGTTCCAAGGAACCCACCTTAGCGAGCGAGAGCTGAGTTCAATGAGCTCGCAGAAATCTTCCTCAGAAGAGCAGCCCTTGACCAAGGATCAGTCAGCAGGATCACATCTTTGTTACGACTGTTACGAGCGTGATCGCGAAAAGTTTCCAGAGCTAAGATCGGGGCAATCATCTCGATCGGGACGATCTGCGTCTTCCTTGGCGCCGATCGGCGGTTACAATTGTGCACCACAGAGACCAGTCATGACAAAGTACTTGGAACGATCGTCCGACGGATCTTTCGGGCAAATCACACTGAACTTGCGATGTCCTGGCAAAATCAGAAGTTGCCGATAAGGCTTCCGCTCGTCCAAGACCCAGACGTGGAACTTGTACTCATAGCTGCTAGTTAGCTCGTCCCTTTGTCAGGAGCCTTGATAAAGAACTCAAGCGAGACGAACGCAGCGATCTTCAGCGTCATCGATCGCATCGTCTTCTCAAGCACATTGAAGCTCGAAGTCCTTAGCGACCTCGGCCGCAAGGTCATTGATCATCAGTGCTGGCAAAGACGATCGAGACCTGGTGTACTTAAGCACGAGCTGCCCCGGATTCTTCCGGTTTGCTTGGACACCGATCGCTGGCTCTGTGCACTTGCAATGAACAGCTTGTCGCCCGAGCGGAGTGCCAAGCCAAGGCCGTGTCCTTGTCGAGGAGCTCCTTGGAAAGACAATTTTCCTTCCCTGCAGACCAGACCAGATGGTGCATCCAAGCGAGCGGGCGTAGTCTGGCGGGGTCGATCGCCAGGACTCTTTCGTTGGAATCCAGAAGTCGTGCTCGACCAAGGGGAACTCATTTCGAAGAGGTCGCACCCCACCTTGAACCAAGCCATCTTGGAGAACAAAACGTCGGGCACCGCGAGCTTGGTCCCTCTTCGCTTCCGCTAGGTCTTTGTCTGCCAGGAGACCCCAAAAAAAAACCTTCAGGCTTTATCTCCATCTCGTGCGGCTTGACGTGGATCGTATCGTCAAACCGCAGGGGCGCAAAGATCATTCAAAGTGTCCACCAAATTAAAACTCGAGCTGGTTTGGGGTGATCTTCATTGGTGACATATCTTTCCATTGTATCTGTATCTGTATCTGTATCTGCAATATGTTTCGTGCTCCGTGGCACGTGGGATCAGTCAGCCGCAGCTTGCTGTCCCGCACGGTCACCGCAGCACAAT